ATCTTAGTCGATACTATGTTTTGAGAGGGTATTAGAAGAGAACCGTTGAAAATATCACTGCTCGCCTTCAGGTCTTCTGCAGTCGTAGTCTTCCATCCCGGTCGCCGGGGTCTTTGGGTCTATATAGCAAATGTTAGTCGATAACATGTCTTGAGAGGATGATAGAAGAGAACCGTTGAAAATATCGCTGCTCGCCTGTCTTCCTTCCTTATCCTTCATCTACAAGTCTACAGGTCCTTCTCTGGCGATAGTCGTAATGTTAGGTGTTAGCGTTTCAATAAGGGAGGAGTGCTTGATATACCATCAAAGGGGTCGGTGAAGAACCCAAGTTCAGAAGACACCGTGATATTGATGTCGAATCCTTTATCGTTGATGATGAGTCTACAAGTCTACAAGTCTACATCTACAGAGGGGGTTCCTTCTCTGGAGATGGTCATAATGTTATTAGCGTTTCAATAAGGGAAGAGGGGCTTGATATACCATCAAAGGGGTCGGTGGAGAACCCAAGTTCAGAAGACACCGTGATATTGGTGTCGAATCCTTTATCGTTGATGATGAGCCGCACCGAGCAAACTGCCATACGCAGTTCGGGGTGTTGTCTTGGGTTCCCGTCTTGAATCTTCGTTAACAGCTGAGAATAGAAAGAGACAGGGACATACATGTGCTGTGGCCAGATGCCAGCGTCACCTTTGCGGACTGCAACTGCATGTACGAGGTGTGTCTTGGGTTCCCGTCTAGATCCTCGTTAGCAACTGAGAGTAGAAAAAGACAGGGACATACCATGTGCGTGTCATTTCTCGTAAAGTTGGTCCAGTCCTGGACAGTCTTCCAAATTCCTATCACCTGCTGGCACCCAAGTTAAAAGGTAAGTGTTAACAATCACACAAACAAGTCTTTTCTCGTCCCCTGAACACCGCATGTCATGTTCTCGTATGTCATGTTAGCATCATGTTCAGACATGCTAAACAAGCCCAGTATTCGGGAAACAAACATACAAAGCAAATATCACCAGTTTGCTTTGGCTTCTCCAAGTCATTTCTGAGCTGGGAGTTGCCTGTGTGGTCGTTGATCGGAAGCGGTGGTCATGGTTCGGTCTATGATCGCCATTGTCAGTGAAATATTTTCCGTACTCGAAAGAAGCGGGAATAATCGATAGCCCACAGCATCTCATGGGAATGTTTGGCTCGGAGGTAGACCTCCCCAGTCTTGTGTCGTGGATCGTGGTCTTTCGTCGGCCTTGGGCTTCTTGTTTGTTATTGTTGTCATTGACCTTCAAGCTTTGGCCATCAGGCCAGCATCAATTGTCAGCGTAAGATTCTTACTAGTGTATTAAACAAAAATGGGGAAAAGAAATGGGGCTGACGAATTCCTCGAGTCTTCATCTTTGTGGTTTGTGTCGTCGTTGTTGCGTGGTGCAGGTGGGTTGAGAGGAAGCGAAGGAAGGACGGAGAGAAGGGGGAAAGGAGGATGGGAAGGTGCGGTGTTTGTTGTTGTTGTTGTTGTTGTTGTTGTTGTGGTCGTGCGGACTGGTTGTTCGTGCGTGGAAATACGCAGCCGTGTTGTGCATGCTCCGTTAGTCTTGGCACAACACCCTCCTACGGTGCTCCCGTCTCGTGCGTGCGTGTTCTCGTTCGGTGTGTGTTGTAAATACGTAGTCTAGCCTTAAGCAGTAGTATCTCGTATCTCGTACTTCTACCTAGGGCACGAGACTAGATTATACGAGCGGGCTGGGTATGGGTTTTCAAAGTCCACTTTCCTGTTCAGGTATCAAGCTAAGAGGTAAAGGAGGGCACGAGACTAGGTATACAGGAGCGGTGGCACAAGACTACTCACGCCGAAAAGTTTGTCCGCCACGTGACATCGGTAGAAGAGCTGTTGATCCTGTTGCAACGCAACCACCCTTCACGTGACGGACAAACTTTTCGGCGACATGAGTATATAGCGGTAGTTTCCAGCGGGCTGGGCACGAGACTATTCACCGGCTGTCAGTCTCGCGGACAAACCCCCAGGGTATACTTACGGCGCCACTAACTGGCAGCTGCCACCTGGTCACGCACGTATAGGGCGCGCCGTGGCGTGACCCCGTGCATTGAATAAAGTTTACGCTAGCAAATATCTCACTCAAATTCTCAGCCATTGAAAAAATGTAGCCTCGAAAAAATCCATTCATGTTGAATCCGAATGCACGATTACGTACCCACACGGACTCGAGGCTAACCCACACGTTGGGTCGAGGCTAACGTTGCAAAGCAACTTTAGACTCTACGTAGCCTCTCTCGAGCTTAATACCATAGTATACGCATACCGGTCCGCATACCTAAGTAGATATACGTACGGCACCCCCAAGGCCGAGTTTCTTGTGTTCGGGTGTTCCGTTCCAGAGCAGGAGTTTCTTTTTTTGTGATCGGGCAACTTTTTGCTAACAAAATCTTCAGAAAAATTTTGTCTTTTGAGAAATCCAAAGCTACCCCTAAACATAAATTTTCATGAATTTCTAAAACTATTTTCAGCAAGTATTCGCATATGAAATTCAAGAGAGAACGGGTGTGAGGCATGCTGCGATCACCCAGAGCACCCGATCACAGGATCACGAAAAACTAGTTCCCCTGATGAGCCTAGAGAGTCTCGAGCCCTAGAATAGAATATTGAAGCTGTTCTCGTGGGGCCAGTCGGGCCACCTCCCATGATCAATATTAATCTTCATTGAAAATGAGGTTATCGATGCTTGAAACGAGGCCTACGCTATGATATGCCGCAAGCCCTATCGCGAGGTGAGGCACTGACCATGAGGCTATACATATTTAGTTCCAGTCAATCAGCTACATATTCTCAGCTCACTTTAAATTTGCTACAATTTATATACATATATTATTGCCGTATCGATCCTCCTTAGGAGGGTGTTGTGGTGTGTAATATTATTATCTCGTTGGAAATGTCACTTTGTGTTGATGCTGGAATAGACGCCAGCGTCTCGAAATTGAGGTTGCCGTGGGTACCGTTGATTTAAGCTTAACCCCACAAATCCACGTCCCGTGCATGCATGCAACCCTGCCGCAAGCGTAGTCTGGTGTGACCCGCAAGCGTAAGCGCGGGGTGGCGATAATTTCGGCTTGGAGGTGGGCCCGGCGATCTGCTGCTTGATCTGAGACGCCAAACGTTAATGTCAATTGTAACGTTTCGTTAAGTTCCCGCCCTCGAGCTCCACAAACTTTGCCTCGAGGACACTGGTACCTTGTCTTTAGCCCGCCTGCTCTATTTCAAGTTCAGAGGATGAAGCCTCCGAGCTCAACCTGCTTCCCAATCGGTAGCTACATTCTCCTGCGTTCCTGCATACTCCTGAATTCCCACTATACTGTACGCTCTCTTGACATCATGAAATTCTCAAATTACAGGACCCAATCAGTAGTCTCCTGCGTTCCTTCTCGCTAAAGTCTTCTCCTCCCCCTTCTCCTCCTCCTCCTCCTCCTCCTCCTATGCCGAACCTGGGAAGCTCGTCTCCATACTAATTCGCGTATGTATGTAGCAATCGACAAGTACTATGCAGTTCGGAGAACATATTTTCAACGCCATGCACCATAATTCATGAGGATATCGACCCTTATATTGAGCTAGAACTGATACATATCAGGACTACGAAATTCGAAACTGCCACAAAACGTTTATTCTGACGACAAGATCACTTGAACTTCAAAACCAGAGGATCATGTACACCTACCTACTTAAGTAAGTAAGTACGTATTGTATCAGCGTTTTGGACGGGATCCTAAAGACCAAAAACATACTTACTGGCAAGATGCTTATCTAGACCTTTCTCTAGAAGGCTGATGGGGAGACTTTTTTCTACGAGGTAAGTAAACGCTCTCCAGACTTACCAACTATTGAATAGCTGTTGAGCCGCAAGAGACACACAACGAAACACATGAATGCATGTTCCTTGGGACCTATAGCTATTCTCAACCCTCACATATGCATGAGTTAAGCTACTTAATTTCCAGTATCTCGAGTGCTCCCGGATCAACGGCCGAGGACGAGGATACCTCAAACTACCATTACTAAACATTTATTAACTGACTTACTTACCAAACAATAGCTGGCTGAGGGAAAAAGGCACATAACGGTACATCTGGATGTTACCTACCTAGGTACATACCTAGGTACTTAAGCCCTATTGTCAACCCTCATCTGAGTTATAATTAGGTTACTTGGTTTCCGGCACCTCGAACGCTTCCCGAGCACTGGCTCATGAGTTCAGCCCACCAGTACTGAACACCCATTAAAAGACTTACCAAACCCATACTCGAACCTGTCAAACACTATTCCCATCACCAGATCGAGGCGCATGCGGCTGTGTTAAAAAAAAAACACCTAGGCCTGGGGAAAAAAAGGAAAAAGATTATGGTCACGGTGAGACTTGAACTCACAACCCTCGCGTTACATGTGTAGGCTAACATATCTATTAGCACGATGCTCTGCCGATTGAGCCACGCGACCCTTGAATGAGGACCTGGAGCAAATTGCTCCTCAGGATTACAATTTTCTATGAGACTTCAATTGTCTTTGCTTAACGAAAAATAGGTAATCGATTATTCATTTGAGCGCCGTTAATTTGTGTGCGTGCATGGCCAGTGGGCTAAATCAAAGGACGGCTAATTTAAGCCTCGAAACTCTATTTACGGTAAAGAGCATTTATCTTCACGATTCTCATGTTCTATAGGTCGCTAGTCTCGTGCCCAGCCCCTCGAAGAGGATAGGTCGCTTGCAACATTATGTACTATCCTTTCGGTCCTGGCCTAGTTTACCCTCTTTCCCGAAGGTAGAGGGCGGCCATGTACGACAAAATCAGACTACCCTAAATTTCCCCCCGAGTACACCCTTTCCTCAGGGTCCCTTTGAAGAAACAATTTAAATCTACAAGAATAATTTACCCTCAACACCTTCAGTTATTATAAATCAATATTTCCATCCGACAAAACGAAGTAAATAAAAATGACAAAATGATTTGGTCACGGTGAGACTTGAACTCACAACCCTCGCGTCACACACATTTTACTGTATAAAGCTAACATAAGTATTAGCACGATGCTCTGCCGATTGAGCCACGCGACCTGTACTGACAATAACAAGTGACTACAGTATCCAGAATTCGTTCAGGACAAACAACCAGGCTAGTTCAGGACACATTCATATCTTTACCCAATTGGGTAATACACCGACCAAGGACGGTCACTTCGTAAAGAATATGATTTCCATGATGGAGCTATGTGATGGATAAGATGCATTGAGCCTGCATCGCTCTAAGCTCTGCCATACTTACAATTCAACGATATGAATGAGAAGATAATAAAATTAATTCTGAAAGGTGGATGGTTTGGGCTTTCGATATTAGATTTGATTATGAAGCGAGCACAGATAAAGCTGATAAAAATTTGATCTTAGGTAGCGTTGGCCACAGTCTGTCTTCTACTATCATGACTTCCTTCTAAGTCAACTTTCTTGACTGTCGCTTCCACCGCCTGAGATTGAGGCACGATCACGAGGCTATAAAAAATTCATACGGTATGAGAACAACTATAACTAGTAAGGACCTGAAGAAGACGCTTTGCGTCCTACGGGAAGGAGCGAGGGTAACCAGGCAGGATCATCTATCAATAATTTGAACAATCGTGATGTAAGGAGAGCAAAAAGATAGCTATGTCTGGCTGTGCACGGAATCGAACCGCGATTGTATCCGCCACAAGGATAAGTGCTACCATTACACCACACAACCCGCTTATATGAAGTCACCTGATGGGGAACAGTTGTGCCATCTTTTTCTCAATTTGTCAGCAACCATGCTTCCTTGCTTGACTTCATTTCGGTGCATCAAAATTAGAATAATTGAAAGTAATTCATGCTTGGTTATTGACGGATTTGCGGTTGATCATACGCAACCGGTATTGATAGCGAAGCATAAACCACCCCCAGATATTTCAGACGTAGATGTCTAAGGACTACTTATTTCTCTACCCATAGAGGTGTACATTCAATGAATTGGGAAACATCGAAAGAAGTGGACAGTATTACATAAGTACGCATGTCAATATATCAATTCATGAATGGAAATAATGTAAATGAAAGTTGTAAATAATATATGTGACAAGAATGTACAAGCATTGAATCCATGAAATTTGAAAAACCCGAGGCTTAAATTACTCTTCAAGGTAGCGTCCTAAAGTCTCAAAGGGATTCCATGTCTCTATAAATTTCCACATGGATAGCAAACCTTGAAACTTGAGAAGCCACTGGCGAAGCTGTGGCATCCCTTATAATTTCTCATATACACCGTGACCCCGGGGTATATACACGAGACCATAGACTCCGTGACTCCAGTCCTTCCCTCTGTCTCCACCCACATACTGCCCATCCCAAAACTCGCCTTGGAGCTGTAATAGCACTTTCCGGCGACGGGATTATCGTAAGATAACTCGAATTGTTGGCACTGCTGTTTCCAGTACGTGCCGATCCACCAGAAGTGGTCCCCGGACCGCTTTTGTAATTCACCGGCAGCTTCACGGCGGTCGAGTTCGGCATCTTCAACCCAGTATGGTGGGGTGGTACCGAAGTCGTTTGTCAGGATGTAGGCGGGGTCGCTGGAGAAATCAAACTCGGATTTCCATTTTCTGTCGGGGAACTTGGTGCGTAATTCGGCTGTTGGGACGTCGGAAATGTGTGTTGCCTATTGCTACTTTTGTTAGCAATTGGATTTCATTCTGAATTTTTACCATTACGGTCTGTCCGTTGAGGGAGCAAAAGGTTTTGAAGTGGCCAATGGGCTTTTGGGGTGACATACCTGAGGACCGAAGTTTTTCCCAGCTGCAACCACATTTCGATTCAAAGCCGCTGCCTCGGTGAAAGGGATTGCCATCATCATTAGGGACCCAATAAGGGCTGACGCCTTCAAAACTGCGAAGCTGAATGTCTTCATCGTTGCTTGGATGATTTCTCTGGGTGTTTTCGAGGAGGACTTCAGAGGACAATATGCACAGATACCGAAGGCGGGGGACTTGAGGAGATTGGTAGCCTGCAGAAGATAAATACTCCAAGGGGTCAGCTAGGCTTTATATACCCTCCATCATGTTTATTGTATATCTTTCTTAATTTGCAGGACGCACTGGTAAAGGTCCCATGAGTCAAGCATGCTTGCCCCATTCTTTATTGATTACCTTGTTAATGGTCAAGCGTATATGGGGATTCGATTGTGCATGATTCTAGTAAATGTCAGATGTGGCGGCTCTGTCGAGCTATTCGGGATTTCGATTGGACGCATCGTTCTCGGATACTTTTCTGGCTCTCATGTCTAAATACTAGTAACCTCGAGTTTCCAATGCAAGGATACTAGCGGTTGAATTCAACCAATTCAGCTCGCTTTGGCGTTTTCACGCTGGCAGATGCTAACCAGCTATGTCTAGGTATGGTGCTTGGGGGCCCTCATACACCATATTAGGTTACATTTCTAAGCATCTTTACTTAGGGAAGGAGAATACGAATATACCTTGTCCAAAATACCACCTAAAAGCGACTAAGATGATCAACGAAGGACCACCAGTGCTTACTCCAGTACTCGAGTACAATTGTTAGTAAAAGCAACGCTTGCCGACAGAAAGGTAGCGTGTGTGGGATCCGGAACCCAGGCAAGAATGCAGCAGATTTAAGAGACTATGGTTAGTGTATGCAGCCCAGTTGGCCACTTGGGTCACCAGTCATGATGAACGACAAGCTGGTTGGACCCATTCAGAAATATAGTACCCAATACTCCCTGACTTGACCTGCAATGAAATAGTACTCGAGTAATAATGTTTTTTCGGATCTTGCCGGAAGAGCTAACGAGTCAAAACTAGGATGTAGGTTTTGGTGAAGTTAGTGCGTACTTCTACTTGTCAAATAAATTAGTCTCCGGACACCTGAGTGAGGAAATGCCTGTGCACTGTCGGTGCATTGTCCGGAGACTTATCGATTTGACGAGTATATGCGTAAACTTTGGGCCAATTGTGCCCTCATGTCAATGGCCTCAACCATTGTTTCTACAGTTGCCTGATTAAAAAGCTGAAGGTCCCATTTCACACGACATATTTAGGCTTGCAGCTGTGAACTGATTTCTGTTTGAAGGAACTCTATGGTTAAAATTTCAAATTACATGCTTTATTTCTCTCTAGCCGCCCATTATTCTGGTAAATGGTGGTAAAGCGGTGGGTCGAGCATGCATGACCTTGCCATTAATATGTCATTCGATTAACGTTGATGGGGTTACACCTGCGGTTTGCCTTGACGAGCTCGCGAAATACGTACGCGTACACCAATGCCATGAAATGATTTTCTCAGTTTATTGAATATCGCAGAGCTGGATGCTCTGAGAGCCGCATTTTGAACTTCAGCCCTCGGTTCTTGATAAATTCCCAATTAGACAGAAAGCAAGGTTACGTTGTTATCAGAACAGTTGTTATCGTGCCCAGGAGGTTGTCAAATTTATGAGAATTAATCACAACTTGTCTCCGCTGCTGGGGTCGTTGATCTTACTAAGCATGCACATTACTATTGACAGTCAATGCAATGTCGATCCAAGAGCTGTAAAGTATTGGACAACAGAGTAAAGTTGCTTACACATGTATCTCGTAATACAAGTCGAAAAATTAACTGCATGGTTTCTCCGACGTGTTGTGTGCCGCTGTTATTCGACTCGCAAGCAATATTCCTGTGCAATCAGTCTCGCTGTTCGATCACCCAGGAGAAAATTTATCTCATGGCTAGACAGAGCACGTCACATTTTGGTAGAGGTAATGAAAGGCTTCAATTTTATCCACTCCGAATCGAGGCTAATCCACTCCATACTCTTCGGATGATGGCCAGCACGTCACATCGATTGAGTTTTTGCAGGAATCATTACTGATTATAATAATTTCGCACTGGGTTAATTAGATATGGAAGCATTAATTGAGCTAAATCAACTGGCTAGCGCTCCGGCCGTTAAACTAACCGTTGGAGCGTCAATGAAACGAGGGCCATCCAAAATGCTCAGAAACCCATCCCTCCTGCAATTTCAAAATTTCTTGACCCAGGATTTACCAAACGTATGTTTTTAGCAAGTATCCAGCCTACCACCCCAATCACACGTCAACTGATGAGGCTATATTATAATCAATAGGTGGAATCTGTGATCTTTTGGTAAGCCACAAATACAAGCTGGCGTGCATGGATTTTTGCTAATATTTCCCACTTCAGTTATGAAACACTACCACGGGAATACTTCAACGCTTTATGTGCAACTTACAAAACTCATTTGAATGATTTCATTGGCGCCTACCCACATAGCTTGGTGGAAGATCTTGAGGACGAAAATTTCCGCCTTAGTGAGGAAGCTACAATTTGTACAAGCCATACATACAGCTGCCATTGCGAAGTTTGTGAACGGGCAAAATCGTTGTCACCGATTGCTTCAACGTCGTCCCTTCCTCTGGGCGATGAATCTCAACTTTCGGGGTGTGGTAAGTTTGAGACCATGTTCAATTTGCGCATAGATCCATCAACGCCTCTGACTTCAGGTACTATCAAAATCATTTTCAGGACGGACGTGTATAAGCTTTCAGACATCCTTTCTGGAGGAAAGCTTAAAACCAAACCAGGGTAGGATTGGTTCCGAGTTCGATGGCGCCCACTTACGCAACACACGCCCCAAAATATCCTACGGCGGCGGGGATGATGATGGCAAATGCCAAGTTCGCTTCCAATACCGGCGGTTCAGGTGTGTCAAAACTCCTATTATAAGTTCGGGTACTTGGGCTTATTATAGTAATTTTGACATAATAGAGAAATCACATTTACACCAAAAAAGAAAATCGCATTAATGTGGCTAATTGATGGGAGCACACACACATTCACAAATGAGATGAATTCCTATATGCTGATGTATAAGGATCTCAACCGCGGGAGCATCATTAGTTGCCTAATTCTAGTTGGTTGTTTCAATTGGAATTCTCTACTCACCCACTGTAAGCGGTTCCTTTCCCTCGCTGTAAGTTCAAATCTATTTGTTAAAATCCTTACGATTGTCTACACCTACTAATTGATCTCTT